GGGGCACAGCTGTTGGGAGCATGGACCAGATGAGGGGAAGCCAACCTGGACCTTCCTGAAACAACTCCTCCTTAACCTCTTTCCTCCTTGCCCCCATTCTTGGGGTCCACACATTCTGCTCAGCTTTGTAGGGACTCTCGCACAGCTTGCAGAGATGCCCATGTCTGTAAGACTTGGAATTGAGTCCTGGCTTTGCCATAAGTAGGCTTCTCTGAACCTCAGTTTTCTTCTTTGTTAAATGGGGACATTTCCAAATATTAGCTAGCTTACATTGCTGTTACTGAGGTTAAACAAATTTGGATACTGCCTCTAGATCCACCAAGTACCATACAAAGGAGAGGGGCTGTGGTTATCCCTGTCCTCATGCTCCCTGTGGCAGGCAGCCAGCTGCTGATGGTTAATAATTTATTTGGACTGATCTTCCTGCCCTCTCTGGACATACACTTCTAAGGACCAGCACAGTTCTGGGTCCCATGGGCCGCAGTAGTCACACTATGGACTCTGAATAAACATGTTGGCATGCATGCTAAGTCCCCACCCTTGCGATGCAGCCCCCCTTCCTGGTCACACCTGCTCCCAGGAGAGAAAGTGCCAAGAGGTAAACCTGGCACACAAGGCAGATGGCAATGAGCCACTGCCCTTCCCCACTTTCACAGGTTACTGTCAATAGGGCTGGCACCAGCCATTGCAAGGATGTCCTCTGACACATACATGTGAGTCTGGCCTGCCTGGACACAGATCTTGACCCCATAATTGTTAAGGAAAAAATAAGTCTGGCATGGAGAGTTCCCAGTACCTCAAACACAAAGTGAGGGTCCAGAGGTGTGGATTTCCAGAAGGAATGCAGCACAGGGGCGGCACATACCCTCACAGTAGGCTGGACAGACAGCTGCCAGGGAAGTGAGCAGCTTCTGGAGAAGGCATCTAGCCCCTCCACTAGCCTCTTTGCTTTCTCTCCATTCTGGGCAGAAGCCTGCCTGCCATCAGGGGACACATACCCTGGGCTCACACACCCACATCTGCCTCATCCTCTCAGCAACCAAATGAGACAGTAGGCATTCTTCCCCTGGGCCCATTTTACAGATCAGGAGAGTGAGGCCCAGCAGAGTAAACTTATTGGTCCACAGCAGCCAGCAAGCTGCAGCCTCCTGGCACCTTTTCCTCCCCTCCCCTTCTCCAGAGGTTGTAGGTACAATTGCTGTCCTCAGCCTCCCTCCATCCCTGAGGGTAGGCCTAAACCTCTGACTCACCATGGAGCTCACAGTCCATGAAGGCTGCCACCCCAGCCTCAGGGGCTCTTAAGGACAAACAGCCCCCCTCTGAGGACCTGGGCAGAGGCCACTGCTTCCTGCTGAGAAGATCCAGCAGTCTCCAGGCCAGACTGCAACAGCAGCATAGGGTAATTAAGGCAGCTGGCCTTTGTTGTCCACACAAAACCTAAGGAACCTCATAAAGATTCGGCAGTGATAGCAGCCAGGCAAAGGCCCATGGGAGCAAGTTATGAATGAAAACGTATGGGACCCAGTCACCACCTGGCAGGCTCCACTTCCTGGTTCCATGACAGAGTGCCCACAGAAGCTTCCCAAAATTAACTTGTCAGTGCCCGGATTTCTTAGCGCTACATCTTACCCTGAGACCTCAGGTCAAGGACACATGTTGGACCCCAGCCCAGACCAGAAAACTCAGTATCCCTGGCTTGCTTCATATGCAGGTAGCCTTGGATCTATACTCTCAGGACACACAGGCCTCAAAGTGTCTAGTGTCTTCCTTCTTCATCCACTTCCCATTAATGGGAGGAAATGAAGTTTGCAGCTCTTCTCAGCTGGGTCCTTCCCCTGCACTTTTCTGAAATAAGTCAACCCTATGGACACCTGTCCTATGCTGGGTCACTCTATGGGGGCCAGAATGGAGATGATATTGTGTTGTTATAGCTAGGGAGTGTGTGTGTGTGTGTGTGTGTGTGTGTGTGTGTGCGCGCGCACGCACGCGCGTGCATGTGCACGCGCAGTGCACACATGAAAGAGAGAAGCAGAGAGAGAAAGAGACAGACTGCGATTGTACAGCCAAACCCCAGCTTCTGTGCCTTTCTTCACTTTGCCCCTGGATTCTCCTCCCCCTTTTCCTTAGGAGGGAAAAGGGACATTTTGTCCCCACAAAGAAGCCAGCAACCCTTTTTTACATAGACAAGGCTATTTATTCAAAGTTTTTCGTAAGTCCAGCAATTTCTTACTCCCAGTGCTTCTCCATGAGTGTATTCTGAATGCCTCAAAAACCCAGTCCAACTCCTGAAAACTCTATAGCTCCTCCCCCAGCCACTGCCACCAACACTCCCAAGTCTAAACTTCTGAGATTTACATGTGAAAATGTTTCATAACAGTGTGACTTGGGACGCTTCTGTCGTTTTGGGATAAACAAAACTCAACAGAAATCATAAAACTCAGAGGAAAAAGCCACCTCCCTCCAAGTGCATTCCCAGCCCCAAAGCCACACGTGCTCTCTAGCAGATAGGGCTTTCAATGTGTCTTTTGTTTGATGCTGGTGTTTCAACATCCTCAACTTGAAGAGGGAAAGGTCAGCATAAGGCTCCCGGGTATTCACAAACCTTCCCAGCTTCCACACAGGGGCCAGACAGCAGGGAGAGAGGGGCCAGGAATTCCCTCTTTTTTGGACCCCTTCAAAAAAAAATAGTTTGACAGGGTAGGCCAGGGGCTTGCTCCCCCATCCAAACTTCCCAGATAGTTTACAAGTAACTTTCCCACTCCCTCCACCATGCAAAAGCTAGTGAAGGCCAGCTACCCGGTTTTCCAGCCCCAGCGCCTGTCCCTTTATCTGTACCTTGGAAAAAAAACAATAACAAGCAAACCCAGGCACCTCTGGGAACAGCCTCTGGCCTTCTGCCCTGCCCTGTGTAACCAGCCTGTCCTCACACCCACGAGGGAGGAGGGAACTGCTCTAGTTAACCCTCTGGTCTACCAGGCCGGGTTCCCAGGTTGCAGCAGAGAGACAAACTGTTGCTCAAGAAAAGCCTTCAGAAAACCCTTGGCACCAGGAGGCAGCTGCAGCTCTCAGCGCTGCGTACCATCAAGTCAGGGGCTTCCACTGGCAGCTGCCTACTGCCCTTTTAAATCTCCAGGGTTGGGCCGCCCTACTCTCCATGCCCTGAGCTGTCCACCCAGGGGGCTCCGAATGTCCCTGGCAGAGCAGAGAGGAGGGAAAGGCTGGCCGCGCGGTGCCCTCACCCGGCCAGCCCAGCCGCCAGCTTCTTGGAGGACCTCAGAGAGAACATTTGTTTGGGCTGCCAAGTTAAATCTTCCTCCCTCATGTCAGGGCATTGGAAAAGCAGTCAGGAGAGAGGGAAAGGGGGAGCGCGGGGGAAGAAGCAGCGGGAGGGAGGGAACCAGCGAGGAGGGTAGCTCAGAGCCCCAGTTATTCCGGCACTGCCTGCCCAGGAAGCTGCATCTCCAGGCAGGCGCAGCCTGGGCTCCGGGCACCGAAGCAGGGACCTGGCCGCCAATCTCGCCCGGTTGGGCGCTGGGTGCCAGGCGCCCCTGGCCCCGGCCTAGGACAAACCCTTACCCTGCACCCGGCTTACCTCTACCGGACAAGGTAGAGCAGGATGGCAGAGGAGGGAAAAGTTTGCCGCAGGTAGAGGGGTAGGACAGAGCGGCCCTACGGACGGGCTGTTCCCCAAGGGAGGGTGGGGGGCCCGGGTTGGCTGCCCAGGCGCTCTCCCGTCCGCCCGCCCTCCCGCCCGGGTTGTTTACATTCCTGGAGTGTCTTTTAAACCCTGGGCTGTGGCCGGCTCCCGGCCTTCTCCCGCGGCTCCGGGGCAGTCTCCCGTGAAAATCTGCTGGCGCACAATGGCCGGGAAGGCGGCCGCCCCTCGCCCGCGCCCCCACCGCTCCGGGGCGGGGAGCCTACCCTCCGCACCGCGCCCTCTCCCCGCCCGGCCGGCTTCCTGGACAGATGTCCCCGGTGAGGGGACGACGCGCACCGGCTCCCAGGGCCCCAGACGCCGAGGCCGCGCTCCCCACTGTATTCTCCCCAGTCTAGAGCCCAGGAATGTGGAACAAGCTTCCAGAACCAGCCCCCCGATCCCGACCCCAGCTCCAGTCCTAATCTGGCCCCTCAACCTCCGCCCCAGCCGGCCTCTCACTCCCCCGGGGCCGCGGCCGCCGGAGACAGAGAGGAAGAAAGAACACGGGGAAATTACTTTCGTATTTGCAACGCGCGCGCGCACACGCACATCTTCCCTCTGGGCTAGTCTCCTGGCTGGGGCAGCCCAGTCCAGGCGTTGGCCTGAAAGCCCCTCGGGCTTCCAAAGCCCTACAAGAAGCCCCTATACACACACCTCTTGGCGTTGCCAGCACGTATCGCGCGCCGCCTTTTCCTGGGCAATTCCCCCACAAACAACTTAACCGCGCCCCCACCTCCCATTTACAAAAGTGTATGTTTTCCCTAGAAATTCAGATGCACAACTTAACACCACCATCCTTTGCCACACTGAAATCCTGCTCCTTCCCAGTCGGTTCTTATACGCACACAGGCGCACAACTTCGCATCTCCCCAGAGGAGGCGAGGGAAACCCAGGTGGTTCTTCCCCGTTCTTTCCCTTCCTGCTGCGAATCCGGGTCCGGCCCGGCCCCCGGGTGCTCAAAGCGAGGGCTGTAGGCGCGCCGGCAGGAGGCGGGCACAGGGTCCGCGCGCACACAACCGCACTCGCGCCCCGCACACCCGACGAACCCCGGTCCCCGCGTTCAGCCAGAGCCGGCTCAGCTCAGCCGGGTGCTAGCCTGCCGCCTGGGCCTCCGCCCCCGGCCACCGAGGGGAGTGCACGAAGCCCACGCCACCGGCCGCTCATCCTTCTCACCGACCCGAGTGGACCCTTTAAGGGAAAAGCCCCAGTACTCAGTACCCCCAAGCTCGCACCCCCGAGAATCCGCGGGGAGTGGGAGGAAGCCTCGGGGCTAACGGACGCCTGGCTCTGTCTCCAAACTTACCGGGCGCTGTGAGCAGCACTGCCGCCGCTGGAGGACGCGCCGCCGCCACCACTGGTAGGGCCGGCTGGGGCCGGGAGGAGCGCAGCGAGGGCGCGGAGATCGGCCCGGCTCCGGCTCCTGCTCCGCGCTAGCCGGGGCTGGGGTCACCGCGCTGCACCCGCGCTGCTCGCTCGCTTGGCTGCCCGATCGCTGCTCGCCTGCTCGGCGGTTCGCTTTCCCGGGCGCCCGCCGCCGCCGCTCGCTTTTTTAATGTCCACAGACAGTGAAAAGGAACTCGGCGTTAGGGGGTGAGTAAGTGAATCAACTCGCCCGGAGCCGAGCAAGTTGAAGTGTCAGATTACATTGGCTATTCTATTTCCAAAGGGCCCCGCGCCGCCGGCCGCTCTCAAAAGCCGGCGCGGAACCCAGGCCGGAGCGGAGCGCCGCGCCGCCGCAGCCGCAACCGCCGCCAGCGCTCTGCTCTGCTAGTCTTGGCGCTCTCTCTCGCTCTCGCTCTCTCTCTCTCTCGCTCTCTCTCTCTCTCTCTCTCTCTCTCCCCTCTGTCTCTCTCTCTCTGTCTCTCTCTGTCTCCTCTCTCTCTCTCTCCCTCTCTCTCTCCCCTCTCTCTCTCCCCGTCTCCTCTTTCTCTCCCCCACTGCTTTCCCCCTCCAACTCCCCCCCTCCCCGCTCACGCCGAGCTCTCTCTTTCTTTCCTTTCCGCTTCTCTTCGATCTCTCCTTTCTCTTCTTTTCCTCTCCGCTTCTCAGTCTCAGCGCTCTCCCAGCTTTTTCCCTCCTGGGGATGATGGGCTCGGCTGCTTCACTCCCCCCTCCGCCGCACGCCGCTCGTTCACTCGCCTCCCTCTCCTTCCACCACCCTTGCTACTCTCTAACACCCCCCATACCCCCCGCCCCAGTAAGTTTGGAGAAGAGGAGAAATGCTGAGCCCTAGGAAAGGATCACATTTGGGGAGACCAAAATCACCCGGCCCACAGCCGTACCCACCCCCCCCCGCCTCCGCGCACTCGCACGCCCCCGCCTGGAGTGCACTCTGGACCGCGGGCGCTGTCAAGTACCCGAATTGGGGTGAGCGAGTTGCTAACAAGATTCCAAAACCTCCCCTGTAGGAGACTTTGAGGTTGTTCCTAAAGACCGGGGACCGATGGATGGGTCGAGAAGAGGATCCCTACCATAACCACCAAGGGTGACTTTGGGAGAGACTGGAGCGCACTCCCCGCCACCCCCGACGACTACGGAAGAGCCGGGGTGAGGTGCGCATGGCATGTCCCTGACACCCCGCGCTCAGTCCAGAGACGCATGAATGCCCCTGAAGTCTCGCGGGGAGCGCCTTAGGTGCAGTACGCGCGGGCAGGGTAAAGCGGCGAGACCCCGGCCCTCCACACACACTCTGGGCTATACACTGCCCAGGGGTGGCAGAGAGCGACGGCAGTTAGGTGCGCCCACTCGCGGACCCACCTCCGAGAGCATTGAAGTGCGCGTCCCCTTTGGCTCACGTCCACTGCCACTCACACAGAAACTCCTACACACACACACACACACTCGCGCCCACCTTCGTACGGCAAACATGTTCCCCCCACTCGCAAACGGGCCCGCATTTACACTTTCCCTCACGAATATGCCAGCATACACGGCAACAATAAGTATATTCAGCCATACAGTTCTACACACAAACATCGCTGTACACAACCTCACGTACACTCAAAAACAAAACAAGAAACATTCCCCTGTGCACTGGAGCTCGCGTTCACGTACACATAGAAACACTTGTCCTCCCCTCCTACACCCACACACTTCTTCCACACCCCCTCCTCAAGGCCCCGCGCCTCTGATCAGCGGCACCCCCAGTCCCAATCTTAGCGCTAGGGGTTGGACACACATGCCCGCACTCACTCCCCTCCCGGATAGGCGGGGGAGGCTTGGGCCAGGAGCCCGTTTTGGAATCCAGGTGTGGCGGCGGCTCCGCGCTCCGCGTTTTGCAGACCGCCGTGATGTTGGAGGCGAGGCAAGGAAGGGAGCTGGAATAACAAAGGCAAGTTGGGGAGAGCGCAAGGGGGCGCAGCCCCGGCCGGGCCGCGGGGGGAGCCCTCCACTGCCCCAGCGTTGGAGGATGCAGGGTCGCGGGCGCGAGGAGCCGGTAGGGGGGCGGAAAGGTGGGGGGCAAGGGGCTGGGCCTTGGCGTGACGTCAGAGAACAATGACACCGCTGGGGGCGGGCTCCGGGAGGCAGCCGGGGCGGGGGTCTTCCCTCGGGCCTGGGGCGGGCGGAAGAAGTTCTGGCCATGCCGGGGCCGCTGCCTGATTGATGAGGTCCGCATGGGAGCGCAGAAGTGCCACGCAGACTCTCGGATTGCCTGATCTTCCTAGGTGGCGATCGGAGCGGACCCCGCACCAACAGGGGGAGCCGGCCCAGAGTATTCCCCCTACCACAAATCCCCATTTTAGAACATTCTTCAGAGAGCTGCTCTGACCTCGGCTTGAACTCCTTCAGGGCCGGAGAGATCACTCCTTCCACCACCGAGAGAGAGGAGGCATAATGCATTTGCCAGCTTTAAATTCATTCTCAGGGCTCTGATAGTCTGACAGCCGGTGAACTCAGCCTGGAATTCCTGAGGGCTCAGAGAACTACAACTCAGGTCCACAGGGAGTGTGTGTGTGTGTGGGTGGTGGGGGGGGTGTGTCTGTGTGGGGAAACTGATTTTCCCAGGGGAAACGCTACCTCCCCGCCATTGGGCACTAGGGAAAGCGCCCCTTTTAGGCCTCGGTCCTCGGACCTGTCACAGACTTGTCAAGACTGCTCCCCCACCCACAGGTGTCAGCTGAGCATCCTTGGGGAGGATGGGTTGTATGAAATCACTCCAGACGTCTTAGAACACCAGGAAAGCATGGTCCCAGCACATTTCTATGGATGGTTCAAGTTCACAGTTGGGGGGCAGCCTGAGCTGTGAGTGGGGATTCAGCTTGCTGGATAGTGCCTGGAGCCATAGCTGTCCCACCCCCCAGAAATCCCCATTATTGCAACAACAGAAACCCACCCCCAGCCCCAGGTCCAAAACCCCAGCATGGAGTTTCTGAGGGTTTAAAAACCTGGGATGCAAGATAACAGCCCCAGCCAACAACTGGCCAAGTTCCAGTCACCTTGATGATCAATGACTGGCATAGGTCAGGGTGCCCCAGCCCCTCACAACACTGTCAAGATCCTTCCCCCAGTAAGCAGAGCTGGCCACCTCCAGGAAGTAGGGGATGCAGATAACCTCTGGGTGACCAGAAGCCCCCACCCCCCACTCTCTGGCCAGTAATTTTTTTTTTTTTTTGGTACTGAGGCTTGAACTCAGAGCCTACACCTTGAGCCACTCTACTCTGAAAACCCTTTTTAATGGGTTTTTTTCAAGATAGGGTCTCAAACTGCAATCCTCCTGATCTCTGCCTCCTGAGTAGCCAGGATTACAGGCATGAGCCACCAGTGCCCGGCCTGGCCAGTATTTTTATGTGGGAACCAGGAAGTGGCAGAGGAACACTGAAACAGTGTGATTCCAGCCTTCCCAGCTGGGCACATAGGACAAGTCTGAAAATTCCAACTCAGGCTTCCTGGGGACCCTGGGCTCCCATCTTTGGAATTCCTAGGCTCTTGCTATCAATATTCTTCTGCCTGAGAGGCAACCGGACAGATTGATTCCCTCTGGAGTTTGGAAGAAGCTGTGACTTACGTAGTGTGGTGAGGTCATCATGAACATTAATTGAATTTCTATGCTACCTCTAGTTAGGCACGTTGCAACTCCCCTTCCATTCCTTCACCCCCCCCTTCCATTGAGGAAACTGGACTAGGGGCTCAAAGTAGGTCAGAGTGGAAGCTCAGGCTCTCATTAGCAAGTTTCCTGCTGGCACCTCAACCCCAGCTTTGTGTTCTCATCCCACAGCCTCTGTGTGGCCCTAAGCAAGTTGCTTTCCCTTTCTGGGCCTCTGTAAACTAAGGACCCATCTCATGGTGATGATCAGGTGTTACTGAGGCTTGTGTGTCCTGAGGCCCCAGTTTATTGACTTCAAGCATCTCTGGGCCTCCTTGGGGTTGAGAGGAGGGTGAGGCAGAGAGAAAGGCACCATCACGAACCCCAGCCACTGGGAAGTAGAAGTGGCATCCTGATGGTTGTGCAGGCCATATGTCCCGTGGCTCTAGCAGCTGAGATGCCCATTAAGGGGCTTGGGCTGTGTGAAACAAGATCAAGTGTTTCCAGTTTCTCTGCTGTCTGAGACAAGACACTGGGCCGGGGTCTCAGGAGGCAGGAGGCCCAGGAGCCAGGAGGAAGGTAGTGGTGGGAGGCTTGAAGACTCTGAAAGATGCAGAGGAGCTGTGCAGGGTGCAGTGAGTTTGACTATCTTGGTGGGCTGGGGCAGGGGAAACAGGCATACATGGGGCAGTTCCTGCCTGGCCAGGAGCTGCCTGTTCTGTTTCCACTTTCCACCCTCCCTCTTGGTAAGGGAGCCAGGAGGCATCTGAAGTGGTGCTGGAGAGGCAAGAGGAAAGTCACATTTACTGATGCTTTGAAACATTGCCCCTTCCATAGGCTCCACAGACCAGGTACCTGAGAGAAGAGTTCACAGGCTCAATGAACTGCTTAGGCTGTGAGGACTACCAAATGGGTGGGGGCGGGATTGAGCTCCAGGTCTGGCTGTGCCTTGGTATGGAGAATGGGCTCTTGCCCTCATCTCATTGCCAGCTACGATGCAGATGACGTGACCTTCCAGGTCCTTTGGAGAAGAGACTCTCACCCATCCGCCCGGGCATGATTGGAGGAGTGCTTCCCAAGGCAGTGGGGTAATGGTGAGTACATTTGGTTTGCACCCGTTGGTGAATCTAGAAAGCATTTGAGTCTTGTTGAGCTCTGAGCCTGCGCCACTTGGGCATGAGTGTCAGGTCCAGCACAGAAGGAATGCGCCCTTCAGCACATTGGACTCCTCTGCCTGATCTCATCCTCCTTGCATTCCAACTGGATCTCCCCTCCATTCGGTGAGCCATGCCTTCCAGTACTTCACCTTAGCTCCCCAGGGCCCTTCCCCCAGGCAAGCTGCCTCACTTTCCATCATGGAGCTCTGCCCTGTGGTTCTGGTTCAATATCCAACTCAACCGCCATCACTTCTTCTGACAGGAGGCCCTGAGAGTAGACAGAAAGCCTGCCTCAGGAGTGGCTGCGTGCCCAGCCTCCTGGCCTCTGTTTTCTCCATCTGCCAAGTATGAGACCATGGGGTTCACAGGATAGACAGCACTTTGGCCTCTGTCCTTTCACCTTTAGGCTGACCTACAGTCACTTTAGGATTTGTC